TTCTCTTTTTCTATTTTTTCAGCTTAACGCAAAGTTTCTTCCTTATAACATGAGCCGTCGCTTACATAAACCACTGACGGACTTAAAATTACCGTGCGGAACCGTCTTTAGTGCAGTGCTATCCTAATTAATTTATCCATGCAGTTCCTCCTTGCCTCTAATAGGAGGGATTCGCTTCTTAGCATTTCAAAGTCGCTCTAGCTCTTGAAGGATTTCCTGCAAGGGTGATTGTTTTTTTCTCAGTCAGCCTGAATATCTTCTTCGATTCAGCCATTTCTATCCGTCGTCTCATAGTTTGGTCCTGCCTGAATTCCGAAATATGCTTCGTTGGCTGATCTTCTTGCGCAGAGACTTGATCGAGCACCAGTTGTGTTTACAGCATGTTCCTTTAAGTGAACTGTCTCTGGTTGATCAGAAGTTTGCTCGCTTGTGTCGCTGAGGGAATGGACCTTTATCGATTCTTCCATCATTCTTTTCCGATAGCCACTTCAGTGCTTCTAGACATGTAACAGTACTTAATTACCATATTGTTCTTTAGATTGGCCGCTGCTTGTATGTATAATAAGATATTTTATATTTGTGCAGTGAATATGTGTCACGTTTAAGGTGGAAGATTTAAAATCTATTAAAAGCGAATCCAAATTTGGAGTAGGTGAAAGGGGCATCAATGTGAATGGAGCTTACGCCTCCACGGTGAGTTGGACATTATTTGCTTCGCCAAATTGCACATAAAAGTTTTTAGCTCTACGCGAAGGTTCTTCAAAGGCTTTCGAAGACATCACAGACGAAATCTATCGAAAACGTTGTCGTTGAAGAGCAAATTCCAAGACTCAGGTACTGTGTCTAATTTAAAATGTGGTAAAATCAGAAATCTCTTAAACAGTTTCTTATACATTCTCTGAGAATACGTCTGTTGAGCATTTCTTTGAGGCAGAAAACTGAAGATTGACAATAATCATAGCACCAGAAATGAGAATACATGAAATACCTGAGAGAGAGCATACCAGAATATATCTGTAACCGAAGCCAATTGTAAATATCTATTTGTCAAAAAGATTAATTTTTCCCATTTTGTGGATACTTACTCATACAACAAGAAGGAGGTCGTATATTATTTGACCTATTAATTACGGATTAGATATCACTACTCTAAAACAACATGATCAGTTGTCGAAAGTTGAAAGGCATGTTTTTAGCCAAATACTTTCAGAAAGTATCTCCCTAAGTCCAGCTGTTTTCGCTTCAGTGATACAAATTTATAACAATATGTATAATGACATTATAACCAGAATGAGGTTAGCGGAATCAAAGTCAGCGAAGGGTCAAAAGAAAACCACTGGCATGGAGAAACAACTACAAGATTTGGGATATTTAATATTTTAGCACGACCAAAGAGAAATCGCTAACTTCAAAAAGATAATTTGGTTCTATGGATATATGGCGCTTACCAGAATAACAAATGGTTTGATTCGTCTCCACACGAGTATACCAACAACTAGGGCATGCCGATGCACAGTTTTGCAGAGTCACTTTTAGCAATAAAGTTTTGAACCTAAAATTTAATAATTTTATGCTGACCTCCTCTGTGACATTGCTGTTGTCAAAATCATGCGATTTGTTGCTTGACGTGGCTAACGTGACTAACAAAGTAATTCCTATTAATTTCATCTCCCCGCCAAAACGTAAATACCACAATAGGGGCTTCTTTGAAATTGGTTCAGTCAATCCAAGAATCTTTTAATCAACATTCGTGTTGAGTTTGATGCAACTTCAGCCAAAACTGATCTCCGTCGCAATTTCACTTAAGTGCATTTTTTCAGAGTTATGAAGAGTTCCTCTGATCGGGAGAAACCAATGGCCAACTAACAGGGATGAAATAATAATTATGTAAATTTATGTTAAGTATGTAAAGTCGTGATTATCTGTATTAAAAACTGATATCTGATGCAGATGAAACGATTAATTGTGGAAGTTTCTTGTTGCTGATCGCTGTAATGTGGTCTAAGTATATTCACCTGCAGTATTGTGGAATTTGAATTGGCACGAAAATTATTTGACTTAATGACGATTCTAGAGTGCTGACCTGGATGCTGTTCAAAGGAGCAGAAAGACCGTTGAAGCCAGAAAGACACAGCGAAAAGCATCCTACAAAATCAGCCACCGTCGGAAGCAGCTTGTCCTACCAAGCGCTTGTCAATGTCGTACGTGCCGTGAACATTCCAACAAGACAGGAGAGGTAGACTGCAGCATTTGCGCCACACATGTTTCACAAATCTGACTCGTCATGTAATGCCATTCATTGTCTATTATTAATCCATCAAAGCGAGACAGAGAGGTCGAACTTTGAAAGAGTAGCATATTACTGGAACGAGAAATTCTGATACTCTAATTACCGATGACCATTTGTTCAAAACATTGGTGTATTGTTAAATAAAAACCATTTTGTTTGTGTTTTTGGCGCAAGCCATTAAATAGTAACATGTGCCAGCATCTGTAAAAAATTTCTTTAATTTAATTTATATATTTAATCGTAGAAAGAGTGCATTCTGCCATTTAAGTTACATTGCATTTAAAATCCTTAAACGGGAGCGCTTCATCATCAGTTTCTTGAGTTCTGGAACAGAAATTTCATAATGTTATACTCTCTCAGATACCTAAAGTTCATTGGCCTGTTGCCTATTACCTGTTCCTCAGAGAAACCGTCGGAATACTGACTGAAGAGAACTTGTTGAGGTCTATTTGCGTAAGTGTTTCTGAGATGACTCATCCTGCGACCCCAGCTTCTCTCTTGATGTGATTCGATAATTTGAAGAACGTGAAAGATAGTGAGGTTTTAAACAAAGAAGGTTGTTTAGAATAAGTCATATCTCAGCTGAGTGCATACAGTAAGCATTGAGACTGCGTTCAACCGCTTGAAGCGGCATATGCCCTCTGATTGACGTCCATCTTGCGTAGAATCTGTTGACAAGCGTAAGAGGAGAAGCAGATGCTCAATGCTTTGAGCGGTGCAGTAGTGTTTTCTTCTGCATCAGAGTTTCTAGGCAAAGTCACCGCTTGATGGGGAGCAGGATAGAAAATTAAAGTGATAGTAACTAAGTTAACTCCAATTGACAACGCAATGATGGCACAGTGCGGCAAAGATGAATTCTAAGTCAGATGTCGGGTCTAAGAATCGGGTTTACTCCCCTGTTTCAGTTTTTACGTGTTACATGATATAACAACAGCAACAGCGACAGTGACACAGTGTGAACAACAGTTATTGCACTCTTCATAGATCTGAGGCTTAGACTCTAAACATTTAGGTACCAAAAATTGCTGAAATATGTTATTCAAGCAATTGAATATTTTATGTTTAGAATCGTCGGGGCAGCCGAAACGGATCCAGGAAGCGTAGTAAAAGAAAATACGGCTCTGCTATTTTGTGATCATCTTTGCATTTCAGTACGTCGCGGTTGAACCATACGTTGAGGTAAATTTTGGAGGACTCGTCCAGAGAACACTATCGCTCGAGGGTCAAACGCCAACTTGGAACCAAGTATTTTATTTTGGAATAAGGTGCATACTTTATTGTTTATAACATTGCTTTGTTTTGCCTGACCGAAGGTAAATTAAAATGCTAAGTTAGACAACATGTAGGAAATAAGTATATTTTTTATATCGTTCATTCAGAGAAAACCGTCACCAGCTAGTTGTTAATTACAAAACAGAATGTTACGGCAATTCGCAGTCAGAACATGCATTTTATCACTTAGAAACGCTCCTAATTCTT